ACAAGTCAGCCATATTGGGCTGATTTTCTGGGACCAAAGCTAAAATCCTGTACTTGGTGAGAGGTGGTGGTGAATGGGTCAGGGGTAAGACTTCCTGACCACATGAATAAGTATCAGTATGTGCTCTGGAATCGCTTGGTTTCCAGAGATGGTGAGTAGCCAGGCCAAATGGAGGAATATATATACTAACACCCCCGTTCTTCTCCCCAGGCTAGGTTAAGGTTCTGCCTCATCCAGTCTCATCCCCTCCCTTCATCTCCCTCTGTTCCAAGATTTACAGTGATATATTTTCTCTTATAGCATATTGAATGTTTTAATTGGTATTTAAACATCAACATTATTGCTGTTATATTATTTCTACCTCTGGTTAAAGTTTCTGACAAAAAAAAAAAAGTGCCACTGGAATGCAGCCTCTTCACTAAGTTATCATAAAAATAATAATAATAAAAAAAGGACAACAATACAACAGATAATTTATAGTCCTTTCCTCTAAAGGGTTCTACCACCAGGGATCAACTTCAAGTAGAAAGATCTCATTGAAAAACATACAGCATAGAAAGAAATTAAAGACAAAAAGAAGAGCACAGTGAAGGAGAGGAGGAGAGTTAGAGGGGTATAGAGTATGAACAGCTGGCTTCTGGTAGCAGATGTCAGTTAGTGGCACCTGTACCACCTTTTCTAACAAGATTCGCCCTATGTGACTGGTATTCCCTATGGCTATGATTGTTCTACTTTCTCACCTTCCAAAAGAACTTCGATGATGTCTTCTCTGTCTAGTACATCAGAATCAATCCCACCCCTGCTTTTTCAAATCTGACATGTAAATTTTTATATTCTATTATTGCAAATACTATTATACTAAAGCATGACATTATACCTCACCTATCTTATCTATGGCCTATTCTCACCCTTCTCCCACCCTTATCATATGAACTATATTCAATACACCTTCTTCTTTTACTCAACAGGTGTTAGACTTTAAAAATCTTTCCATTGTGTCATAAATCAAGAGAAAATACTGATTTTTTTTTTTCCAAATTGGGTAATAAATTTCCAATGACAGTCTAGAATCGCTATATTTAAGACCATGTCTTGCCCTAGCCAGTTTGGCTCAGTGGATAGAGCATCAGCCTACGAACTGAAAGGTCCCGGGTTTGAGTCCAGTCAAGGGCACATGCTGGGGTTGTGGGCTCCCCAGTGGGGGACTTACAGGAGGCAGCCGATTCACCATGATTCTCTCTCATCACAGATATTTCTCTCTCTCTCTTTCTCTTCCTTCCTCTCTGAAATAAAAAAATATATATATTTTAAAAAAAAAACACAAATGTATATTTAAAAAAAAGGAAAATTATAAACATTAAAATAAAAGACTATGTCTTATTTTATAAAGTATAGGAAAGTATTCTCAACTTATTCATTTGGATAGGAGTCTTGTCAGTCACTGTCTTTATTTAAATGACACATCCCTTCTAACAAAAAAATAAAAGTTTCATATTCTCTTGCCCAGATCACCACCTCCTTTCCCATACAGAAAAGTTTTTCCTATCTTTCAACTCGGCTCTATTTCTACAACTCAAGACTAATTTGGTTCACTTGGTGTTAAATCCCTTTTCTTTCCTTGTCTTAACTACTGCTTACCTCAAATCCTTTTTTCTTACACTTTTGAAACTACCATCTTGCTCTTGGTTTGCCACCACCCTACCATTTCAATATGAGACACTCAGCTCACTTACTCTAACAAATTAATTCAGCTGAGACAAAACTAATTTTCATCTACATGGGGAAGATCTGTAGCTATGCAGTTTAAAAGTTGCCCAGTCATGCTCTTATACTGACAAAGGTAGACAAGACCGAAAGTCAAGGTCACAATGAATAACTGCTAGACCCTCTACTATATTCATTCGGTAATACCTAGCATCCTCCCTGAGTTGTATAAAAACCAACAGTTCCTTTTTCATCAAAGAAAAGTGAACATAATGCTTCCCTGAAGACATTCTCTAGTCTCCCCACACCAAACTTTTAAAAGAATGATTATCTTAAGAGGGAGAGAGGACACTGGGCTGGTGGAAGCCTTTCTTTTTAGAAAGGCTTGTCCCAGACTGCCATTAGCCCTAAGTCTTGCTTTATTTACTTAGGACAGATGTGCATGATTGGGAAAAGATTGGCTCCCAGGAACCTCTAAGGCAGAGGCTGCCAATCTTTCCGACCTCGCAGACCACCGGATGGCAACCGTTGCTCTTAGGGACTCCAGGTCTTACGCCAGCTCCATTTCACCTGTTTAACTGGAAAATAAAGGTTACTCAAACACTGTGTTCACTCTTATTCTTTCTTCTATGAACTAAATTCATCTCCAGCTGCCTACCATTGAAGCCACATCTTAAGGATGTCTTCTGGACCATGTTGACTTAGAAAATATAAGATATATATATTAACACAGAAGCCCCTCAAAGCCAAGTGATCTTCCCATTAATATTCCCACTACTCTCCCGATCTGCTTTTTATCATACCTTTTGTCCCACTTCCACCACCTTATTTCTGGCCTTAACCCCCCATTGCACTACACAGGTTCATCTTTCTAATGCATAGCTATGAACATGTTAATTTCTTTCTAGACAAATCAACTCAGATTCTCTACTGCCCAATAATTTAAATATAAACTATAGATCATGAGAGTCAAAACCCTCTCAGATATGGGCACCTTAGGAAGTTGTCACCCTCTCTTGCTTTATTTTTCTTCCTAGTATTGTCACCACCAGATAAACCTACCTATTCATGTGTTCATTTTGCTCACAATATCCTCAATGCTTAGATAGTAAGCTCTCAATACATATTTATGGAAAGAATGGATAAGCCCAGACATTTTGCACAATGCAACTGATTTGGGCTTAAAAGACCTACATTTGAGTTACAGGGCATCCACACACCAGCTAGATGATTCTCAATAATTTTAACTTCTTTGGGTTATATTTCCTCATGTATAAAAAGAAGGTGTAAAACTTAATAACTTATAAAACTTTTATGTTTTTCCACCTGCATCAGTCTATGTTATTGTGTAACTGGACTGAACACCTCTCAAAGTCACCAACCTCCCTATCTACATATCTCTGCTCAGTTTCCTATCATTTGGATTCCACTCTTCTCAACACACACTTTTAATATTAGATAATTTGGATAAATAATATTGGATAAACAATCCAATATTATTTTTTATCCTTCAGGACCATTTTAAGTGCCCTTTTCCCCTTGAAGCCTAACACTGTAAACTCTGTAAGCAGCGGGTGGAGTACCTCCTTTTCCAGCCATAGCAGCTGGTATAAGGTTTCCTATATAGGTGATCAACAAAATGACTTATGAATCATGAGTGTATGTAAGAGTGAATGAACAAAGGACATTTTTCCTGATTCCCACCAACTGCTCAAGTAATCTCCTGCCTTTGGACTTTTGTAACACTTGGCATCTTTTATGACACCATTTTCACTCTGTGCTGTTACTTATTTACTTGCCTAATGTATACTCGAATGCAAATTCCTTAAAACTAAAAGGACTATCCAGATGATCAGTTTCCATACCCACCCCTCTACAGCATCAACCTCAGATCTTTCCTGAAGGTGTATTAAGTTTATCTGACATATGAAACAATAAACAGATATCAGAGAAGGGGGGAAAAAAGGGCCTTGATATATAGCCATCCTTCCAACTACCCTCTAAGTCACTGGGCCCACATGTTGTGAGGTCCCCTGTCCCTGTTAAACCCTGGCATTCAGCCCATCGATGCTTTCACTTCGCTAAACAACCAAAGTGACTTTTCTGCTGGTCTCAGACATCTACCCCATCCAATTTCCTCCTCTGCGAGGTACGCAACCACTTTGTGGTGACAAGCCTGCCTCTCTTGTTTCTGCTCTCAAGACAAAGGGACCCACTTTAAAGCCAGCCTTCCCCTTTTCAACAGCAGCAACTCCCCAATTCATCTCGGGGTGTAGCCACCTTACTTTTCTCTGCCATCAAGATGTTGACCCTCGTTTACCTCTCCAAGTTCTTAATTCAGCTTCCATGGAACCTTCCTGGGTGCACAATTAAATAGCTGGTGTCTTTCCACCCCATGTGCTCTCGCCATCGCATGCTTGCTTCCAATTGTGTCTGCATCTTCCCCCCTTCTAAAACGTGTACCAATCGCCCCCACCCTCACCCTCACCCCACTCCAGACACATCTCATACCCGCACACCGTATCCATGCGTCATTCTCCCTCCGACAGGCAAGGTCCTCACGCCACTCTGAAAATAATGGTATCTCCCGACTCCACTGGTTCTAACCCAGTTTCTCCAGGGGAACCCAACCCCGGCCGTCCGTCGTACCTCTCTCGCTCCTCACTTCCTCATCCATTTACCCCTCTTGAGCCCCCCACCCCACCCCTACCCCCACTCCGCCAACTAACTACAGATGACAGGATTCCCCAAGACCTCCAGCCCGAGAAGGAAGCACTCACTCGGGTTTCCTGCGGTTTCTCCGTCCTCCAGTCCTCCTTCCCCACCCCCACTCCCCCATCCCAGGTGTGCACATTTCCACCCGGTCTTCCCCATTACGCACCGCTCCAGCCAATGCCATACCCCACACCACGTTTCCCCCGCCGCGGGGATCAGCCTCCTCCTCCACACCCACCTCCACTCCGGGCCGCCGCCGCCGCCTCCCCGGGGCGCTCTCCCCAGCCCGCACCGGCGAGCCCGCGACCCGAGCGCGCGCGCGCACCCATGCTCCCGCTTCCGTAACCTCCTTCCCCGCGCCGAGGCGAGCCGGCTCCGCTGGGGGACGGAGCCCGACCCGCAGGGGCCAGGACATCCCCGGGGCGCCCGCTCCAGCCCCGCCACCTCCCGCCGGGGAAAGGGAGAGGACACAGCAAACTCCCCCGCCACCCCGGATATACCACCACCTCGGTGTCGGTGGTGGCTCCATGCCCCAGCCCTCGGCCCGCTTCCCCTCCGTCCGGGCCGGCCCCGGCGCTCACCGGAGATACTGCGCGCTCTGCAGGCTCATCCTCCGCCGCCGCGTCTTCCCGCGAAGCCTCTAGGGGTTCCTCAGGCTCCTCGGAGCGGCCCCGCGGCCCCGCGGGTGCTGGCGGCCGCCGCCATCTTCCTCTCCTCCGGCTCCTCCTCGCTCGGCGCGGGGCGGGGGGACGGGGGAGTGGGAGGGAGGTGAGTGAGGCGAAGGGGAGGGACCGGGGAAAGCTGCTCTCGCTGCAGCTCCGGCCCGTGTGGGGCGCAGGGACACTCCGACCCGGGAGGAGGGAGGGGGGAGGGTTGTGGGAAGGGGCGGGGGGAAGAGGAGAAGCGGAGGAAGGAAGTAGGAATCCCTCTCGCGAGACTTCGGCGGCGCCGGCCCCCTCGGTGATTTCCGACTCGGAACTGCTTCCTCCGGGCGGAGAAATCAGCTACCTGGGCTGCAGCTGTGCGGTCGCGGAGTCGTCCGCTGCGGGCGCTGGGAGGCTTCCGGCCAGTCCACGCCTCTCCCCCGCGCAAGGGGGCAACCCCCGCCTCACCGAGACCATCGAGCCCAAATCGACGGGGAGTCACCCTCAAAGTCTTCCCCCGTCTTTCCACTCCGGCCCGACTTCTCGCTTCCTTGTTCCAATCCTCCACTCCTCCCCGCCGGAAACGGCGCCCTTTCCTCTTACAGTTCCGCCCGCCAGACTGGACTGTGTGGTCTCCCCGTCGTGCCTTAAAGAGTGACACGGAGGACCCCCCTCTTGTTTTCCGGGGCCCCTCCCTCCCCCCACCGCACGCAGGGACTGTTGGAGGGGATGGGGTGGAGCCCAGGAAAGAAGAGAAAGGAAACCCCACTGGATTGGATAAGCAGCTGCCATGGAAACTGGAGCTGTAGTATTGTCATGGTAACCAATGTGCGCCCACCAGTGGACCCTCCCTGGGCGAATAGAGAGATGATACCCGGGAAGGTGCCCAGGGTTTCCCCCTCGGCTTCCCTGACATCGAAAGGCCCACCCCCAGGTTGGGAATCCGGGTGTTTCTCCCGGGCGGGCGGGGAAGTTCGTTTCCTCCTCCCTTTCCCCAGCCCCCGCAGCTTTGGGGGAGACCCCGAGGCATTCACCGTGGGCTTTCCCGCCCGCTCGAGTGCGGGAACCACCACCTCCATAGTTTCCTCTCCCTGCCCGGCGAGGAGCGGGCCGCGCCTGCGGAGAAGACCACGCAGGGCCCTAAGGCTGGCGGGCGGCGGGCCGGAGCGGGGGGACGAGCCGGCGGCAGCGGCGCAGTCGGCGGAGGCGGCCAAGGGGGTCCCCCTCCACCGCCCCGAGCTCCGGGAGGCGGGATCCCACCGAGGCGGGGTCCCCGAGGGAGGAGAACGGCACCCGACAGCCGCGACCGCTCTCCCGCCTGATGCGGAAAGGGCATCAGACTTTTCCCAGCGGGTCCCTCCCCCCTTATAGGGATCCCCTAAACCCCACCCTACCCCCTCCCTCGTAGACGGAGCCTCCTCGGAGTCCCCCCCGCCTCCTCCCGGCCTTCGGAAGCCACCACCAGCCGCCGGGAGGCCAGCGTGAGCGGGAACACATCCTAGGAAGCTAACAAGTGGGTTTTCATCTTTCAGAACAAAAAAGGGGGGTTGTACCCCCAATGGAGGTCCCGCTTGATTGTCAAAAGGAGACCGAGTTTCTCCCTTCTTGGCGAACCTCATTCTCTGATGAGTCTGCAGCGTTTTTAGAACTTGCCACTCCACATCTCGGGGCGCAAAGGAAAGGGTGGGGGAAAATAGGATTAAAAACAAAAACCATCCCTAGATACGGGCGAGAAGTTCCGATGGAAGGCATCTAGGGAAACATTTTTTTTTTCTTCTCATTAGAACAAATGTTTTTGGATGTCTGTGTATTTTTGTGGCAGTCAGGTTTGGGCCTATAAACAGAGATAAAGAATGGGGCCAGTGGTACTGAGTGTGTGAGAAGCCGCTGAAGAAGCCATCCTACTAGTATGAAGGCATTTGGCATCAATTAAATTTTCAACTGATTGAAGCAGCTCCCCCAAAGTCCTTGGGGATGTGGAACACCCTTCAGCAATGCCGTCCTCACAGGAGAGTGAAAATCAGGATTTGGATGGACTGATTCTGTGTGAATCCCCAATTCCTGCTGTCATCCAGGCCAGGCGGACAGACAAGACCCTCCCCTGACATTGCATCTCCTGAGAGACTGGCCCAGCCAAGGTCTGTGTGGAGCATCATGTGTAACTTTGGAGGAAATGAAAGCACAGGCTGCTTGGAAATCAATCCCTAAGACCGACGATGATGATGAACCAGACAGAAGCTGAACTCTGCCCCTCCAGCCGCCCGGACAATGCCCCCGGCAGCCCTCCCCGCGCCCACGTGCCGCCCACTCTCCGGAATGGGAGCCACCTAGTGAGAGGCTGCTCTCATCTCTGGTTCTTCTACCCCGAGAGCCCAGAGATGGAGATTATGCCTGCATATGACCCCACACGCCCAACGTTCCTCTCCTGAAATGTATTGGCTAGGTTTTTAAAATAAAGATTTTAGCCAGAAGAAAACTTCTGTGATGTAAAATAATCACCCTTTTAGTAATCATCATAATGATACTTTCTTGGTGGCCCCTGTCTATGGAATAAGAGTACATGAGCCTGTATCATGACACTCCTGATAAGTAACCTAGAAAAATATTACTCTTCTGATTTGAAAATGAGACTAGGATTAAAAAAAAAAAAAAAAAAAAAGATGAATCCTTGTCCGAGCCGGTTTGGCCCAGTGGAGAGTCTACCTGGTTCAATTCCCGCCAAGGGCATATGTCCAGGTGGCGGGCTCAATCCCCAGTAGGGGGTGTACAGGAGGCAGCCAAGCAATGATTCTCATCACTAATGTTTCTATCTCTCCCTTTCTCTCTGAAATCAATATATATATATATATATATATATATATATATATATAAAGATTAATCCTTTTGTGTTGTTTATTTAATAAAATTTTACTGAGCACTTGTTATATTTTAGGTACTGCCTAGGTTACTATAGATACTGCAATAAAAAAGACACAGTCCCTGTCTTGAAGGAACCACCTGCTGATCAAGATACCAGAGAGTAAAAAAAAAAAAAAAAGATACCAGAGAGTAGAGAAGTGATTAGGACCCTATACGATAGAAATGGTAATTAAGGTAAGAACAAAGTAATTTAGGTACACAGATGAGGGTGCAAAATATAAACAATCTTTGTATTTTATAGCAACTTTCCTAATAACTTTTTAAAGCTTGTTCGGTAGCTTTACAGTGTCCTTAAACACTAGGCAGGACAGCCACATTCACATTTTACAGGTTATGAGACACTGATGCCCATTTTGAAAATACTTTAAAAAATCAATAGGACTCAGAAAAATTAGGACCCAGGATTGACATGTTGCTTCATGTACATTTCCTAATCTCATCTCTTCCTATTGCCCTTCCCAATCAACAGATTTGTAGAATACAAGCATCTTTCTGCAATAGATTTTGCCTCCCCCCGCCACCTGCCCCATGCAGATACAGATTATATCTAAATAAAAATAAAGAGAAGAAGCTGTCTCATTTCATTTCATCCTACCTGAATTCGAGTTTTTCAGTTTGTGCCTAAGTGATTTTATGGGAAGATCATAAACTAGCATACCTGAGTAAGCATTCCAACTATTCCCATCTCAGTCTCTGAACTTCAGTCTCTTCCTTGACAAAATGGAAACATCACCTATACCTGTGCCTTGTCAATTTTAATGATGATTGACGTGACTGAGTATTTGAGTGCCTGGCATACTACACTGGCACTGGATAAATGCTAAGTTTTCTTTTTTTTTTTTTTTCCCCCTTCCTTGCTCTTTTATAGCAAGCAAAAATGAATAATTTAGAACTGCTGAAGCATAAAATGATTTTTTTAAATAATAACTTGTTTAATCTTTGGCTATCATACTCAGGTCTGTCCATATACCCAAATCTATTCTCATGATTTATCATATTATCAATTATCAATTTATTATTTTAAAAAAGATTTCATTTTGGGGGATTAGGGGGAGGGTGGTGAAGAAGATAGATTTCTTTATCCTTGACTCTGATTACAGAAAAGAATACAATATCAGGATATTGAGCACCAGATTCTAGAGAGTTGAAACTTAAAATACCTTTTATCATGAAAAACAGCCTAACATAACCACATCTGTGCCCAAGTAAGCAGCGTGGCCAGTTTTCAACCAGACACCAAGCACTTTGCTGAGAAGCTACTCTTAACATGCCTACCAAACTTACCCCAAGCTTTGGTAACCTGACAATTAATACATAGCTAGCCGCCTCCCTTTTTATAATAATAGACACCTTACCTATTCCACAAAACCTTAACAAGCGCTCATTTATTCTGATAGTTAGCCTACATAGTCAGAATATTTTCAAGTCAGGTATACAATTAGGCACTTAATAAATGCATTTTTTATGTTGAGAAGAATGACTGATCAATTGCAGTACTCAGGTACGTGATGTGCCTGCTGTTGGCCTGTGCTCTTTGTGCTCCCACAGCTTGTACCACGGAGCTACATGAGTCAGTCAAATGAGTGATTCACTCTCTTTGAAAAGAATGAGTCAGATTGACAAACTGACATCTAAACGTATGTCTCCTGTAGCTTATGATTTCTTAGACCAAGGGTCAGCAGTCTTTCTCAAAGAAGTTTGCTAAGTAGATACTTACTTATTCACTCCTATGAGGGAGTCACTGAGCCCAGAGAACAGTCAGGAAGCAATGCCATCCACAATCCAAGAGAAAAAAACCTTATTAATCTTCAAGAATTTTCCCCAACTCCCCAAAAGACAATACCTCTAGGAAAGAACCACACCTTAAAATCTTATCTGCTACCAGGCCAGTCAGTGGTTGGGTATATTATTATTATTATTATTATTATTATTATATATTATTGATTTTGTACAGAGAGAAAGGGAGAGAGATAGTTAGAAACATCAATGAGAGAGTCATCAATCAGCTGCCTCTTGCACACCCCCTACTGGGGGTATGCCCACAACC